TATGATGGACATCATCAGAGTTGGGTGTCGTTCTTGTAAAAGTCTCACGTTAACACTAAAGCAAGAACGTGAGACTTTAACAAGAATGACACCCAGCTATGACGATGTCCATCATATGATAGACGTAAGCTCAGCACGTTTTCACCCGAAACGAGAGAGGAAGTCTCGTGGACTGCGTCAACATGAATATCGTATAAAAGCCAAACGGCTGCAGTACAGGGAGTTTAATCCGTCCTCATCTGGTGAGATCGACCAACGAATCTCTTCTTCATGAACTTTAATTCGAAATGAAGGTCCCCCTAACAATGGTATCTTAGGAGATTCATCGAAACCAACTTTCTCTTCGTATCTAAAATACAATATACCTAAAAGAATATCTAGACTGATCTATAACCTAGATGGTGGCCCGATCTGGAGAGCAGATCAGAGTTCTCTCAAAAAGAATTCAATACCGAGGACAGTGTTATTTTCTCTCTATAAATGGTACTGATGTCTCATCTCAATAATTCGCCTTTATTCTTCGACAGATTACAGGATGGCAGCAAAAGGATTCTGGAAGAGTGATCTATCTTCTTATATATACCCAAATATGTATTTCTCTTCATTCTATTCGACTATCTTCTAAAATAGTTGTCTACCCGCCCTGCAGGATAATTATTCTCAACCAGAATTCGCCTTATTCTCCTCAGTTGATTGTCCCGATTCTTGAAATCTGCCAAGCGCAAGTTCCTCATTATCCTAGACCCCATAGCTCCTACTTTAACCCCATAAGTGTGGTTTGAAAAGAAATTGGAAAGGAATCCTGCATTTGTGGGTTTCTTATGCACATCTTTACTTAATCTGGTCCCCTCCTTGCTAACTAGGACATCAAGAAAAGATAAACCACATTCCTTTTCTTAATCGATGGTGAATTTCGTGTTCACATCAGTCCTGTTCATCAAACAAAGAAAATTCTGCAGGTTTTCATTTTCATGTTGCCAAATAGCAAAGTAGTCGTCCATATTGCGAACTAATACTTTAGGAACCAAAAGTGCCTCCTATCTTAAACGTTCCTCAAAATGAGCAATGTGATTATTTGCTAGAATTGGTGACAAACACGATCCAATAGCTGAACCTCGTGTTTGTTCGTGCAGCTTACCATTAAAGGTAAAATATGTACAGTACATCGCTAGGTTAATCAGTATCATTATTGACCCTTTACTTAACTTCGTGCTCATTAAAATCTCCGAATATTTGTCTAGTGTGGATTGCAGGGTCTGTATGGCATCATCTCCATTTTATAATATTGTCAAATAGAATGAAGAGAAATACATATTTGGGTCTAGGTAAAAAGATAGTTCACTCTACCAAGATCCTTATGTTGTCATTTCATAAACTGTCGAAGAAGATGGGCGAATTACTGATGAGGTGGAGCATCAGGACCATTTATAAAGAAAAAATAACACTGTCCTCGGTATTGACTTCTTTTTGAAAAAACTCTGACCTGCTCTCCAGATCGGGCTGTTACAAGATTTTTGTTCATGTGGTAGTGCCTATGTGGGAGATACCTGCAGACCCATAAATAAGAGGTTATCCGAACACACAACAGCTTGCAAGGGTATGTGGGTACAAAATTAGGAATTTGCCAAACACATGGCTCGCACATGACACCAGATAGATTGGTCTAATGACAAACGCTTAGCTGGATATGGAGACTATACCAGTAAGTGAAAGGTTAGGGAGGCGCTAGAAATCAACAAAACAGCCAACATCCTAAATGAGTGTAGGAAGTTATGCGGAAATTACTTGTGGCTGTTGGATAGGTTTACAGAGAGAGGGGGAACAAGAAGTACCACCGAGCAAGAGGTGTGATTAGACTGGAATCTGGTTTTAATTTTAAGAGCAATACATTCACACAGCACGTGTGCAATGGGATGCAATCACTTGAGTTAACATTACATAATCAAAGTCACAAGTGTTTTAGGGAAGGATTCAGCTGTTCGGTTTCAATTGCGCCCATTTCACGCTTCATCTGTAGTCACTTCACATGTCATCCGCAGCCACTTAACTTAATTTTTATAAAGGCGAAGCATAGTACATCCAACAAAACACGAGATGCATAAATGGACAAAATTGGAATATAAGAAGGAAGTAGATTTGAAGTTGGCCACCTTTCTTGCCTTCGTGTTTTTGGTGAATTATCGTTAAGCATGGTGTCCTGATCTGACGATGACCGTTACATGAAGAACGTAAGCTCAGCAATGATTATTTCGGGTCGCAGGGCGGTGCGCCCAGGATCTATTCGCACAAATCTACAATCACAGTTCCAAGGCCAACCCCCACAACCTCCGATGGAACCAACTTACAAATCTTAAAAATGAAATTAAAAGTACTCCAACATGAATATATTAAGGGATTCTTTGAAACCCAAGCTTTTTACAAGTTCCTATGTTATTTTGCTGGGATGAATGCAACTGTTTCTTAAAATGTTATCTAAGAGAGATAAGATATCCACATTTTTTCGTTTATTAGCGTAGTATGATACTAAAAAGGAGAACAGCAAAAACAGTACATCTCGGAGTGCCTATCAACTATCTAAGACAGGATGCTATGATAATAGGGGGAAAGGGCATGATAGTACGTTGTGTAAGGCTTTCTTTATTTTCTAATTAATATAAAATATTATGTAGTATTGAGTATTCTCTCATATATCATATAAAATTTGCATAAAATGGTCAATTAAAGCAACAGTTAGTTGTGTGTGATAACAACCAGTTAAGGAATTGAATGGAAAACAATTTCTAACAATGGCCAGACATCTTTGTAGTTTCTCATCCTTAAGCCTTAATAATTTAAACGCAGTCAAGCCAGTCTGTAGGAAACGCGATGTCCTTATTTGCCAAAGTTACCCAAAATATATATTGGACAAAAAAATTCGATCTACTTTTGGTCCTAATTTGGTGAAGCCAAGAGAACGAGGCATGTAAATGCATGAGTGTACGTCAATAATTCAGCTATGAACTATATTCTATATATATTCTACTGAAATACGAAGAATAATTGAGCTACTCACCCAAACTGCCATCAGACCATTCCGAAGTGTGTTCTGTCTCACCGCATCCAATTTGCACAAGTGACAAGCTTGGAGATGCATGTGCCAATAACTGACAAGAGTCTTGCATGGGCTGACGTTGTTGGAAGTCGTGATGCTGGATTGGCAGCTGCTCATGGTCACTAGGTGGCGAAGGAAACTGAAGTGGTAAACTGGAGTAGCCAGCATCACGAGCGAATGCAAAGGAAGTATTAGATACAGGAACTGTGTGGAGAGCAAAAAGTATAATGGAAAAATAGATTCGAAGGAGGGTTAAGGTTTAGCATAAATTATATAAAAATATATGCTGTGTTGATAATAATAATTATATATATATATAATATATATACGAAATGGAAGTCTCCCCAGTAACGTTATCTGAGGAAATTCATCGAAAACTAGTTACTCTTCGTATCCAGAATATATTCTACACTCACTTATCTATGACAATAGGAAAATGATCCAAGCAAAGAAATTTACAGATATATCAAAATGAAAGTATAACTAAAGCATTAGGAATAAGCACCTTCGCGTTTACTCAAAAATGAAGTGGCTAAATATATCGTATATGGGCAATTAGCTAGAATCAGGGGGCTCAAAGAATACAAGACTAGCACTATCAAAAACAACGGTAATATGCCTAAACCCTGCTGCTATCAAAAGGAGCTAACCAATGCAAAATTGACAATTCATGAGTAGTGGATTTTTTTATAAATAAATTTGAAATCTGCTCACCCGACATTCTTAAAGTTGGCGATTTGATTTTTTCTCCAGTGGGTGCAAAAATAGCCTCAGTAGGCGTCGAAGAAAAAAGGTTATCCAAATTGCCCAAAACTTGGCTATGTCCGTGTGGTCGTCGTGTCGTAGATCTGTTTGCCTGTGAACATATGGGGAAATGGAGATGGTTAACTTCATGGCTGGCTGCATCAGATGAGTGCTCGACGCATTGGTAACTACCACAGTGATCCTGGCCAGAAGTAGTGATCGGTTGTAAAATCGGAAAAGTATGCCCAAAAAGACTCTGAAGCTGGCAGGTTTGTAAGGATGTGCAGTTATCAACTGACCCTGTGTCCCGATGCTTTGCAAGTAATTGTGAAGATTCGCTGTGAATACGTTGCTTTTGTTGCTTGTCGAATTCGCGAAAAATCTAGAGGCAAGAGATAATTCTTTAGTTTAAGCAGCCTAGGCTTATGTCATGTATCCTCTGTACAATAAATTGGGGTTTACTTTTTCAAGTTGAGGGATTTTAAATTATCACTACCCAGAGACCCAATAATTTCAGGCAACAAAAATGTCATGTTGGTAAGATTGTCCAGTAGATATTGAGTTCCCGAATAATAGTTGTCGCAGGAATCCATCGTGTTG